TATATATATATATATATATATATATATATATACATGAATATATATATATATATATATATATATATATATATATATATATATATATATATATATATATACATGAATATATATATATATATATATATATATATATATATATATATATATATATATATATATATATATATACATGAATATATATATATATATATATATATATATATATATATATATATATATATATATATATATATATATATATATACATACATGAATATATATATATATATATATATATATATATATGTATATATATATATATATATATATATATATATATATATATATATATATATATATATATATATGTATATATATATATATATATATATATATATATATATATATATATATATATATATATATATATATATATATATATATATAGTATAATATATACACTTGCATATACATACTTAGAGATATAACTGATATACGTTAAACAAAGAATGAATTTCCTCAGTACATGCGCGCTCTATGGAATGTGTATTTTCATCAGCTGTTACAAGTGCATATTGAACTTGCTAATAAACTTCTGTTCATTCGATAAATGTTAACTGGTAAGAAGAAGTTACCGAAATGTAATGATTAATGATTAATAGTTAAAACAAATAAATGTGCTTGTCATCAAGGTCATATAGCACTACCGAAATATGATAAGTAAAGGCCGTTGCACAGTACAGCAATTGTATTGTTTGCAATGATCTTTAACTTTCGAATAAGAATTTTGGCTCAGGTGGATAGGTCAGTGCAGATAGAGGCGCACGGGACTTCAGACAGATGGAAATCCCTTCAACAAATGCCGCCTGTCTCCACAGCGAGAACCAAAACCGGCCAGCTCCACGAGTGAGTTTATGGAAGGTCGGCGAGGACATGTGCGTCTTACAGGGAGGCCACAGATCAGAATGACTGGGAACGCCCTACTCGTTGCTTTGTACTACAGTATGGCAAAGGTCCAAGGTATGCTGCGTCACGACAGGGTAGTACAAGTCGCACAACACTCGCCCTGTTGGTATGCGACCCGGAGAAAGAGGACGGGTGTATAGCAAGTGGGGGATTGGTCTGATTAAGGCCAGCCGCAGCGTACATTAGGTACACTTGTATGTATCGGTACATAAAACTTTGTTTGATGGATTAACTTTACGAATGTGCTTTTATCATTTCATACTTCTCAGGAATTGGGTTCTCTACATGGAAAATTGTGTATTACTTAAGCTATTCAATTACAGCAAATTGATAGGAATGGCAAAAAAATAAAAAAAAAATAAAAAAAAAACGAGAAGGGGAAGCAGTGTTGCCAACCCATAATGTAGTTACACGTACAGGTGCAATTTCACGCCCCAACTTGCAAGAGTCCTACGGTAATCCATTTTTTCTTTTTAATGTTTTTTGATGACTGATATGTTTTAATGTAATTAAAGAAAATGGGTTTTGTGATATTTGTTTGTTTACAGTTTGTCCCTACAGTTGACTTAAATGATCGGCTTCATTATGAAAGAACTCTTCAATAAAAAAAAATGCTGTATCAGCTTCTAAGGTCATTAGCGGGGTATTCAAAACATGGCGATAGCGCAAGGCTTGGGGGCAAAATCCCCAGGTAAGGAAGACACCAAAGACCATATGGGGCGCTATGGTAAAGTATAGTAGCTAAAAGGGTTTGGGGTGATTGGGGTAAAGTTACAGATTGAACAGTACTAGAGGGTAGTATGGTATCAAAAAGGGTAGAGAGGGAGAGCGGATGGGGTTTAAGGGTGAAGAGGAAGGAGTTGAGTTGGGAGTATTATGATAAAGTACTGTAACGAAAACGGAAAAAAAAGAGTTTAACGATTAGGATAAGTGGACAGAACTAAGGGGCGAAGAAAAGGAAAAGGAAAAGAATAGAAGAAAAGACGAAGCAAAATTCTTTGAGGCAAGAGCTGAGGTCCAAGGCAGAGCTGATACCCTTCATTGGGCCTCAGTCACCGATGGTACTGATAAAGGAACAACTGTAGTTAAAGCAGAAAAAACAACTTGGGCACATTTTCCACTTAAAATATATTCGCCACCACCACAGGTTGCTGCGATGACTAGGATTAAAACCATCTCTTAACCTTATCATGTCATTTATTATGACTGACGACCATGGAACTTGCTGAGTTCACGAAAATGTTTCATTTGACACTGAAATCTGAGTAAAAAAAATACCTTAAGAATTTTCCAGATTTACATTAAGTAATATTTTGTGGCATGTGGTGGCACTCCATTTTCTGTTTCTCTTGTCATTAGAATAACACTTGTACTGACACTAAGAAGTGTTACCTAAATTCTCTATCTAACATGGATACTGTGTAATTCCTTCTGTTAAGCATCATACCATTTATTCAGGAAGTAATCCTTGAAGTACTACAAAGTACATACTTATGAAAAAGGAGAGATTTGTTCTTTGAAAAATATTCATACCAGGTGAATAAAAAATCATCAG